ACGTTTTCCTTACAACCATCAGAGAAATGGCAAAGCATCATAAAAAAAAAAAAAAAAAAAAAAAAAAAAAAAAAAAAAAAAAAAAAAAAAAAAAAAAAGTGGTCAGGGAGATGGCTCAGAACATAAAGGTGATTGCCACCAAGCCTTGAGTCTGATCCTCAGGACCCTCATGACAGAAAGAGAAAACTGACTCCAAAGTTGCCTTCTGACCTCCACCCTTGAGTTGTGGTCTATGTACCTGCATATACAGACACACACCAAACAAACATAACGAAAAAAATAAACAGCCAATCCTGGTGGTACACACAATTAACCCTGGCACTCAGGAGGCAGAGGCAGGAAGATCTCTGTGAGTTTGAGGCCAGTTGGCCTACATAGTGAATTCCAGACTAGCCAGAGCTACCCAGTGAGACCCTGTCTCAAAAAAATAAAAGAAAAAGAAAGAGAAAAGAGAAATGAGTCTAGAAAATACAGAAGTATAGATTCTCAAATATTGCAATCATCTAAACTATGTGGTTTAACCACTTTTGAGGCTCACTGTTCTCATATAAAAAAATTAAGTAGCAAGGCTGGAGAGACAGTTAGAACTAAAAACACTTGCTGCTCTAGAGGACCTGTTTGATTCCCAGGACCCACAGGATGGCTCACAAACATCTGTAACTCCAGTTTTCAGGAGATCTAATGTCTTCTTCTGACTTCAGCAGACACTCATGTGGTGCACAGACACCCAGGCAAGCAAAGCGAGAAGACGGAAAAGAAATGTTTTCATGAAAAGGCATATTGTTGCTAGGAAGCTCTTTTTTGTTTTTGTTTGTTTGTTTGTTTATCATGTAGCCCAAGCTGGCCTCAAGCTCACAAAAGACCTTAAATATCTCACCTTCTTGTTCCTTTTTTTAGATTGCTGAGACCACAGCTGTGCATCAGCACCACCACGTGCTTTGCTTTGAGGTGGGGTTTCAGCGGGACAGAATGAATTCAGGGATCCCCCTGCCTCTGCCTCTGCAGTGCTGGAACTGAAGGCATGTGACACCAGGCCCAGCACCACACCTGCCTTCATGCCATGCTGGGGATCAAAGCCAGGGCTTTATCTGTGCTAGGCAAGTACTCTATAAGAGCTGCTTCCACCCCTGGAATATGGCACCGCTGTTATTTACCTCTTTCAGCGTTATCTGCAAGACAGACACATCTTCCAGTTGTGTCCTCAAGCTCACGACCTTCTTGCTCTCCTCCATTAGCTCTGCCTTGAGCTCATTCACTTGGCTGAGGAAGGCGTCATGGGTTGCATTCAGTATTCCCTGATTCTGCAGACAACGGGAAATTCCTCTAGGACCGATTATTGGCTGAGACCTTGACTCTGCAGAAATGGTCTCCAGACAGCAGCAACTCCAACATTCTTAGGCAGAGGCCACCAAGAACAACCATGTGGTGATTTTAATAAAAAAGGTTCCCATAGATTTATATATTTGTATGCTTGGTCATCTAGGAGTGAGTACTTGATTGGAATTAGGAGGTCCAGCCTTATTGGAGTGGGTGCGACCTTGTGAGAGGAAGTGTGTCACCGGGAGGTGGGCTTTGGGGTTTCAGAAACCCAGCCAAGCCCAGTGGCTCTCTCTCTCTCTCTCCCTGTTGCCTAGGGATCTGGATGCAGAACCTCTCCAACACTATGTGGCTGTGTGCTGCTACTGTTCCCACCACAGTGAAAGCTACCACCACAGTGACAACAGGCTCAACCTCTGAAACGGTGAGCAAACCCCAAACAATGCTTTCTCTTAGAAAAGTTGCGGTGGTCATGGTGTCTCTTCCCAGCACACTGACTAAGACAGACTTTGAGGACAACGAGCAACACAATGCCTGGTCACCGTAAAGAGACCGCGTGCTTTTCTCCTTAGCGCGTCTCTGTGAGCAGTTTTCCTCTTAGGCAGGACTGAGATGCTATGAGTCACCACTGGACCTGGAATTTCTCCAAGACCCAAATTAATCCCTGGCTCTAAGTTAGGTGCCATTTTCAAAAGCTGCCTTAATTCTCTAAGATATTTGAATGATTTCTAAAATGATAATTCTCCCCTTGCTCCTTGGAAAACACTATTTCAGCTCTTGAAGCTGTGAGCCATTTTCTGTGATTGCTTCTGTTGAGACCAGATGAGCTTCTTGGTGACCCTCAGCCACAGTTTTGTCTGGACCCCATTCACAGTAGTGAGTTCGCCCAAAGACTGGAGACACCAGAGTATCTGCGACAGACACAGAATAACTCATTGCTTATCAAAAGAATACTCCTGGGCTGGAGAGATGGCTCAGAGGTTAAGAGCACTGACTGTTCTTCCAGAGGTCCTGAGTTCAAATCCCAGCAACCACATGATGGCTCACAACCATCTATGAGATCCGGTGCCCTCTTCTGGCCTGCAGGTGTACATGCAGGCAGAACACTGTATACATAATAAATAAAAAAAATCAAAAAAAAAAGATTTAAAAAAAAAAGAATACTCTTGGAAGTTTTTGAGTGTTATAATTTACTGTGATAATAAGCTAAAAAAATACCACTCCAAATATTTCTCAACTCAGAAATTGTGTTTCAATTTTGCTCAAAACAAATATACAACAAATATAACAAATAGAATATGACCAAAAAAAAAAAAGAGAGAGAAAAGAAAAAAGAAACAATAACTAATTTAGATGCCTTGATTCTGCTATAATGTAACCTGGAGAAGAACATAGATTTCTTTGGGTTTGATTGCTCTAATTACTAAGAAATAATTTTTTTAATTTTTTCTTTTTGAGACAGGGTTTCTCTGTGGTTTTGGAGCCTGTCCTGGAACTAGCTCTTGTAGACCAGGCTGGTCTCGAACTCACAGAGATCCGCCTGCCTCTGCCTCCCGAGTGCTGGGATTAAAGGCGTGCGCCACCACTGCCCGGCTTTTTTAATTTTTTATGGTTTATTTAACTTTTATTTTATGTGCATTGGTATGAAGGTGTCAGATCCCCTGGAACTGGATCTTCAGACAGTTGTGAGCTGCCATGTGGGTGCTGGGAATTGTCCTTTTTTTTTTTTTTTTTTTTTTTGGTTTTTCGAGACAGGGTTTCTCTGTAGCTTTGGAGCCTGTCCTGGAACTAGCTCTGTAGACCAGGCTGGTCTTGAACTCACAGAGATCCGCCTGCCTCTGCCTCCCGAGTGCTGGGATTAAAGGCGTGCACCACCACCGCCCGGCTGGGTGCTGGGAATTGAACTTCGGTCCTCTGGAAGAGCAGTGCTCTTAACCACTGAAACATCTCTCCAGCCTGATGCTCTAAGAAATAAATTTAAAGAAACTTTATTAATTACCTTTTGACTGGGCAGTGGTGGCACACACCTTTTATCCCAGCACTTGGGAGTCAGAGACAGGTGAATCTCTGTGAGTTTGAAGCCAGCCTGGTCTACAAAGGGAGCACCAGGACAGTCAGAGCTGTTATACAGAGAAACTGTCTTGAAAAACAAAACAAAACTATGGAGAACAATCCTCATTGTAGAATACTGGTTTATGCAGTTAGGATGTGTCTTTGACAAGGTGTCAAATAAAGAGCTGAATGGCCAATAGCAAGGCAGGAAAAGGTTAAGCAGAACTTCCGAGGACAGAGAGGAATCTGGGAAGGAGAAGGGCAGAGTCAAGAGACAGTTATGGATAAAGCAGGGTGGACAGCGTGGAGATGAGGTAACAAGCCTCGTGGAAGAACACAGATTTAAAAACATGGGTTACTTAGGTGGTGATGACCCATACCTTTAACCCCATCATGCAGGAGTTCAAGGTCAGCCTGGTCTACAGAATGAGTTCCAGGACAGGCTGCAAAGCTACATAGAGAAATTCTGTTTTGAAAAACCCCCCAAAAAGAGGGGGGTTAATTTAAGTTATACAATGTAGTTAGGAACAAGCCTAAGGTAAGGCTGAGCTTTCACAATTTATAGTAAGTCTCTACGTCATTATTTGTGAGTTGATGGCCCAAAGAAAAATCTGACTACATGTACACAGTGCATAACTGCTGCCAGGTACAGAAACACACCTCATTTCAAAGGCCAGGCTCGTAGTCAGGGGACAGAGGCAGGTGGATCTCTGTGAGAGCTACTTCCAGGACAACTAGGACTGTTACACAGAGAAACCCTGGAGCGAGCGAGAGAGAGAGAGAGAGAGAGAGAGAGAGAGAGAGAGAGAGAGAGAGGAGGCTGGGTTAAGAGGCCCTGAGGCTCACTTCAGAGGCACTGCTAGGAGCAGCTGATTCACTACGCTGCAGCAGGAAACCAGATACAAAGGCTGCAGGGAGGACACAGCAGCTTCCCAGAGTTGGGACAGTTAGGAGGACCCAGAGTGGGCTGAGCCGGACACCAGTGCCGTAAGCCAAAGCCGTGGCAGAGGACCAGGCCAAACAGTTTAAGATCTCTCTGATATGGTCAGAGAATGCTGCAGGAATGCAGTGAAGTCAGGTCCAGACCGAGAAAAGCTCTAAACAGATATAGGATGCTTTAAAATGCAGTTAGATACTGAATCAAAGAAAATGGGTACAGACAGTCATAGAAAAATAAATAGCTTAAAAATGATAAATCAGGTAGCCTTTCATAATTAATAAGTTCCTGGGTAATTATTTGTGGGCTGGGGGTCCTGATGAGAAAGTGCTGACACAGATCCTGTCTTAAAAACAACAACAACGGGCTGGAGAGATGGCTCAGTGGTTAAGAGCATTGCCTGCTCTTCCAAAGATCCTGAGTTCAATTCCCAGCAACCGCATGGTGGCTCACAACCATCTGTAAAGAGGTCTGGCGCCCTCTTCTGGCCTTCAGGCATACACACAGACAGAATATTGTATACATAATAAATAAATATTTAAAAAAAAAACAACAACAATTACCTTCTGGAGCAAGTCTTCATATGCCTGGAAAAAATAAGTAAGTATTATTTCACCAATAATCAGCAATTTCATGAGAAACTCGACATCTCTATAAGATAAGTTGGCTGTGGTATCCCACGCCTTGAACCCCAGCACCTGGGAGACAGAGGCAAGTGGGTCTCTATGAGTTTGAGTCCAGCTTGGTCTACAGAGCAAGTTCAAAGCCCATTAGGGCTACACAGTGAGACCTTACTTCAGAAAGAGAGAGGGGAAAAGAGAAGATACTCCATGCCTCAGCAGAGCACCCAGGTCTTGAACAGTGCTGATTGCGGGACGGGAAGGTCCGACCGTGGAGACTGATGCCACCAGGTCTACTCACCTAAAGCGGGAGTCCAGAAGCCACCTTCCATTTCTCTATTGCTCCCACTCTCTCTCCTTTTGGGGACAGAACTCATTCTTCTGTGTCCTGGATTTATCAAAGTGAGATCCCTTTCTCTGCAGTCTTCTCTCGCTGGGTCCTCAACTAGTCTGCGTAGTTCTCCTGTCATGGACTTCTTTTGTTTTGTTTTGTTTTTGGAGACAGGGTTTCTTTGTAGTTTTGGTGCCTGTCCCGGAACTAGCTCTTGTAGACCAGGCTGGCCTCAAACTCACAAAGATCCACCTGCCTCTGCCTCCCCAGTGCTGGGATTAAAGGTGTACGCCACCACCACTTGGCCTGTCCTGGACTTCTACAGGATTTCTGTGTCTGAAGTCTGTTTCAGTCATTCTGGTCTTATTCTGTTCTCCTGTAGTTTTGCATTTATATATGTATATATGTGAATGAATATATATATTCATTCATTTATTTATTTCATTACATTGGGGTTTTGATTGCATGTATGTCTTTGTGAGGGTGTTGGATCCCCTGGCACTGGAGTTACAGATAGTTCTGAGCTGCCTGCCATATGGATGCTGGGAATGAACCCAAGTCATTTGGAAGAGCTCTTAACTGCTGAGCCATGTCTCCAGCCCCAACGTTTTCTTTTCAGATTTAGTTATTGTATGAGCATGTGTGTTTCACCTGCATGTATTTATGTGCACCACTTATGTGCCTGGTTCCTGCAGAGGTCATAAGAGGGCATCAAATATCTTGGACCTAGAGTTAGAGACAGTAAGCCTCCATGTGGGTGCCAGGGATCAAACCTGGATCCTTTGAAGAACAAGAAGTTTTTTTTTAACCTCTGAGTCATCTCTCTAGCCCCCTTCCCTGGTTTTGATTGGTTTGTTTAGTTTTTATTTGTTTTTTGAGACAGGTTCTCAGCCTGGTCACAGCCTTGTTGTTGATGAGTGCCTTGAGCTACTGCAATTCCTGAGACATCTGAAGACATCAGGACGATATAAAATCTCCTACAGCTCCTACATTTGTTCACCTGTAACCAGTAACTACTGGTACTTTGTAATCATTTTTTTATTATTTATTTATTTATTTCGATTTTTCAAGACTGGGTTTCTCCGTAGCTTTTTGGTTCCTGTCCTGGAACTAGCTCTTGTAGACCAGGCTGGCCTCGAACTCACAGAGATCCGCCTGCCTCTGCCTCCTGAGTGCTGGGATTAAAGGTGTGCGCCACCACTGCCCGGCCTGTAATCACTTTCCTAAAGATATTCTCTCTCTATGTACTAAAATGAATTTCAAATATCATGCATTTCAAAGGCTTTGAGATCTTTTGGAGAGAAGAACTTGAGCTTATGACCAGCTTGTTCAAAACCTATCTCCACCTGTGCACTGTCTACGTGTTGAAGCATCACAGACAAGTCCTCGGCCCTGACCTTCAGCATCCGCATTCACCTCCCTAACAGACAGGTTCCAGGACCTGACCTCTGACCTTCAGTGTGTCTGCATTCACCTCCAAACAGACAGGTTCCAGGACCTGACCTCCAGTGTCTGCATTCACCTCCTAACAGACAGGTTCTAGGACCTGACCTTCAGTGTGTCTGCATTCACCTCCCCAACTCATAGAGATCCACCTGCCTCTGCCTTCTCATTGCTGAGAGTGAAGGTGCACATCACCACGGCCTTGCTAGTTTTTTTTTTTTTTTGGTTTTTCGAGACAGGGTTTCTCTGTGGTTTTGGAGCCTGTCCTGGAACTAGCTCTTGTAGACCAGGCTGGTCTCGAACTCACAGAGATCCGGCTGCCTCTGCCTCCCGAGCGCTGGGATTAAAGGCTTGCGCCACCACTGCCTGGCAGTAGTTTTTTTTTTTTTTAAGTTACACCCCCTCCCCTTTTTGCAGTCCTAGGGAATGGACCTAGGACTTCATACAAGAACTAATTGACTTTCCCCTCTAAAAAGCACAGCTGATTATAGCAACTCACCTCTTGAACTTGTGTTAATTGGGCTTCTGTAGCTGCTAATGAGGCATTCTTTTCATATAAGAGTTTCTTAAGCCGAATCAGCTCCACGTTCTCCTTAATGGAAGCTCTGTAAACAGAAGACACTGAACCGTTCCTTCAGGGACCCAGAACCTCCTGTCGTTGTCTCTTCTGTCACCCCAGAACACATCGGAAGTTGAAACACAGTCTGCAAAATGTCCTTCCTCCTATTTTGTTGTTGCTATTTTTTTTTTCTTCCCTGAAACAGGGCTTCTCTGTAGCTTTGGAGCCTGTCCTGGAACTCACTCAGTAGACCAGATTGGCCTTGAACTCACAGAGATCCACCTGCCTCTGCCTCCCGAGTACTGGGGTTAAAGGCAAACCCCACTGTAGCATGATTAATAAAAACCCAGAAACAAATATTGGGTTTCAACCTAAAGGTCAGAAAAGCAAATCAGCCAGTCAGCCACTGGCTCTTACCTCAGTCTAAAATGGCGATCCTGCCTCCAGGAATCTCAGGAATAGACTGTGTCTAAGAGCTGTCTCCTCCTGTTTTAGTTTTATATTCCTCTCTAGGACTGGGATTAAAGGTGTGCACCACTACCACCCAGTTTCTTGGCAAACTAGTGTGGCTACTGGGATTAAAGGTGTGTGTCACCTCTGCCTGGTCTGTAAGGCCTTTTTCTTTTTTCCTTTTTAAAAAAATAATTTAGCTGGGCATGGTGGGGCATACCTTTAATCCTAGCACTCTGGAATTTGGGAGGCAGAATCAGGCAGATCTCTGAGTTCAAGGCCAGTTTAGTCTACAGAGAGAGTTCTAGGACAGCCAGGGCTACACAAAGAAACCCTGTCTCAAAATACAAGAAAAAAATATTTGATGACATACACTTTTAATCCCAACACTTAGGAGGCAGAGGCAGGTAGATCTCTGTGAGTTTGATGTCACAGAGTGAGTTCCTGGACAGCCAGAGCTATTTAGTAAATCCTGTCTCAAAAGAAAAGAAAAGAGAAAAAAAAAGAAAAAGAAAAGAAAGTGAAAAAAGGTTTAAAAGATATTAGTAAGGATTTAGGCTCACTCTGCCCCAGTGACCCTCACTCTCCTGACTAGTCATATATGAACAAAGTCTATAATTACATTGTTGCTTAGACTCGACCTCCGATTAATTACACGTGGGATTAGCCTTTCAGCCCTGAGCAGGTCTCCACAGGCTTGCGGTTCTAGCCCAGTTGATAGGTCCTGAACTTGGTCCCCCGCCCTGTATAAAACAGAGGTGGTGGTGAATGCCTGTAACCCCAGACTTGGAAGGTAGAAGCAGGAGGACCAGAGCTTCAAGATTGTCCTCTGCTCCACAGTGAGCTTGGGTCAGCCTGGGTTACGTGAAACAGTGTCTCAACACAGCCTGGTCTACAAAGCTAGTTCCAGGACAGGCTCCAAAGCCACAGAGAAACCCTGTCTCGAAAAACAAACAAACAAACAAAAAAACAAAACAAAAAACTCAATGGACTGTTTGTTATTCAGCCCGAGGTGGCAGGTGGGTCGGAGGTGGGCTGCTGTGAAGGGATGGAAACCGGGTGGACTCCCAAATGCGTATGATGAAGTGAAAAGCGCGAACACACAAAGCTGTATTCGCACAGTCCCAGCTAAACAGTGCTTTAGGTAAAAGAAAAAACAACAGCGAAGCCGGGCGGTGGTGGCGCACGCCTTTAATCCCAGCACTCGGGAGGCAGAGGGAGGTGGATCTCTGTGAGTTCGAGACCAGCCTGGTCTACAAGAGCAAGTTCCAGCCAGGACAGGCTCCAAAACCACAGAGAAACCCTGTCTCGAAAAACCAAAAAAAAAAAAAAAAAAAAAAAAAAACAGCGAGATCAAAAGGATCAACGGTCATCAGAGGTTGGGGAAAGAGACGTAAACAGGCAGAGCACAAGAGGTTTTCAGGGCGGCCAATACCCTGTGATTTACGACGGATCCAGATCCGTATGATTACACATTTGCCCAAACTCCCAGCATGCACAACAGCAAGAATGAACTTTTTTTTTCTTTTGAGACAGGGTTTCTCTACAAAACCCTGGCTGTCCTGAAACTCATTTTGTAGACCAGGCTGGCCTGGAATTCACAGAGATCTGCCTGACTCTGTCTCCAGAGTGCTAGGACTGAAGGTGTGTGCCACCAATGCTCCCTAAGAATGAACTTTGATATCAAATGTTGACTCTGTGTCAATATTAGCTTGTTTTGATGTTCTTTTTATTTCTTTCTTTTATTTTTTTTTAATTTTTATTTTTATTTATTTATTTATTATGCATACAATAAATGTGTATATGCCTGCAGGCCAGAAGAGGGCACCAGACCTCATTACAGATGGTTGTGAGCCACCATGTGGTTGCTGGGAATTGAACTCATGACCTTTGGAAGAGCAGGCAGTGCTCTTAACCTCTGAGCCATCTCTCCAGCCCCCGTTCTTTTTATTTCTATTTTCATTGAGAAAGGATCCTACTACGTAACCTTAGTTCACCTGGAATTCTCTAAACCAGCTGGCCTTGAATTCCTAAGGATTGGCCTGTTTCAGCCTCCCAAGTGCTGAATTAAAAACGTGTGCCACCAGTAAACTAATTAAAAACTGGCTGTCAGTAAACATTCATTCATTCATTCATTCATTCATTCATTCGTTTGTGTCTTGAGACAGGGTTTCTCTGTGTAACAGCCCTAGCTGCCCTGGAACTCACCTTGTAGACCAGGCTGTCCTCAAATTCACTGAGATCTGCCCGCCTCTGCCTCCCAAGTGCTGGGATTAAAGGTGTGTTCTGGTTACTAGTTAATTTTTGTAATAAAGGCTCTACTTGGGGTTCAGTGGTAAAGAACACTTGCTGTTCTTGGCAAGCAGATTCTAGTCCCAAGTTAAACAGCAGCCAACCCAGGTTCCAAGGGATCTGGCGCCCTCTTCTGGCTCTTTGGGCACCAGACGCACACAGTGCACTAACATCCTACATTAAAGAAATACATAAATCTGAAAAATAAGGAGGAGCTGAAAAGTTGGCCTTGTGGCTAAGGTAAGGGCACTTGTTGCTCTTGCAGAGGACTGGGGTTCAATTCCCAGCATCACATGGTGGCTGGGTCCAACTTCTACCCTCCACGGGTATCAGCAACTCACATGGTGCACAGCCATATACGCAAGCAAAACACTCATATACATAAAATGAAAATTAAAAATCTAAATAAAAATAACCTGAAAAGGCTGTGGAGACAAGGGTGTGTGGTACTCCTTATTCAATTTTGTTATGAAACTAAAAAGCTGATCTAAACAATGCAGTCACTTATCCATGTGGTGTGTGTGTGTTCACACTCATGCTCACACACATCCTTTACTGGTGTGTGTGTTCACACTCATGCTCACACACACGTGTGGAGGCCAGAGGTTGATGCTGGGTGTCTTCCTCTCCTACGCTCCACTTTACATATCAAGACAAGGTCTCTCACATAGAACCTGGCTAGCAATGAGCTCCAGAGAGCCCCTTGTCTCCGACACCCTAGTGCAGGGATAACCTGCTTTTCTGTGGGTGCTGAGGTTTCAAACCCTGGTCCGCAGGCTTGTGTGACAAGCAGCGTACTGACTGAGCCATCTCCTTCGTCTCTTTTTCTCTTTGTCGGGTATTGCGAGTCTTATCTTCAATTCTAGCACCCCAGAGGCAGAGGCAAGCCATCTCTGCCCTGAGCTAAGTCCCCAGTCCTTCGACCAGCACGTAGAAGTACTTTCCACACAAGTCAGACAAGTTTTCAGTTCTTGAAACATTCGATGGAATAAAAGAATCAGCTCCAGCCGGGCAGTGGTGGAGCACACCTTTAATCTCAGCACTTGAGAGGTAGAGGCAGGCAGGTCTCTGTGAGTTCGAGGCCAGCTTGGTCTACAGAGTGAGTTCCAGGGCAGCCAGGACTGCAGAGAGAAATTCATTCCTTCCCGTCCCCTCTCCTCTTTGGTTTTATCCTGTCACCCTGTCTCTATGTAGATCAGGCATGTGCCACAAGACCTAACCCACCTACCTCTTTATATTCAGAGTTTCTCACTCCAGGTCTACGTCTAGATTTAATCTATCCCTAAATAACCACTTTTCCTCTGTGGTGAAGAAAAGCTCAAACAAAAAGGCCTCGGTATAGTTTGAGGCACAGAATGTTAGCTCTCACCGAAGCTCGGCAGCCTTCCGCGCACACTCCAGAGAGCTCCTCTGAATGAACTTTTCCTCTCTGGGCGTTTCCTCAGACCTGGGTGCTTCCTCCACCTCTGTAGTCCTAATGGGAGCACTGTCGGGAATACAAAGACCAATGAATTTAGCCCAGATCAGGACTTGGCTGATTAAAAGTAGACTTTTACATTTAGAGGAAGATTAACCTCAAAAGGGAGAAGCAGAAACGTTTATAAGACCTTGAATTGAGCTGTTCACTTACCAAAGAGTTAGATAAAAGTTAGTGATCTAGAGGGTAATCTTACAAAATGTAGCCTGCAAATGTCAACATAGTAGATAAAAACTAGAAGGAAGGGGAAACACTTTTGGTTGTTAGACCTGAAGTTAACCTGTAAACCCTACCTACCTAAGGACCAGGTAACTTCCTGGCATTCTGGGAGCTGTGGTTCTTAAAAAAATAAATAAATAAAGCTTCATGGGAAAGTACGGTGGCCCATGGGTTGTGTCCATATAAACCCCACCAACACCTGTCTAGGAGTCAGTTACCTGGATGTTTCCAGATGTGGGTTCTGAGCAAATTCCATCTTGGTCGATATGTAAATTTTAATAAAAGCTTGCTTAAATTCAGCCAAAATGATGGAACTGGCTATTCTGGTGAATTTCAGGATTAACATTATGAAAAGAATTTTTTTTCCTCAGAGGACAGAGAAATGCTTGTTTTATAACTATTAATATGAATGTAAATGTGAATTTTGACAGGGCCTCACTGTGTAGCCCGGGTTGGCCTGTGCAGGTGGTGGTGGGGAGAGGAGGGGTAAGGGAGGGCTGGGGAGAGGGAGGGAGTCAAAGGAAGCTAATCCTCTTGGCTACTGTTTTGTATTTTTAAACAAAGAAGGTGAGATTTGACTTTCAGCTGCAACACTCACTGACCCTTAAATGATACATTTCCACTAGAGCTTTTTTGGTAACAACCTGGGCCTGGAAAGAAGACTCACAGTTGGCTGAGCTCACTGGTTATTTCTGTTCTGCTGTTTCCATCTGTCACACATCCCTTGAATGTGGAGGGGGCTGTATAGCTGTGCCTGTCTTTTGGCCCTGAAAGTTTAGGTGGAGAAAGATGTGAGATGTAGCCACAGTACCTTCCAGAACTCCACATACCAAACCCTGGACAGCAAGAGCTGGCGACCGTGGGCCTTGTGATCTGGGGGAAATCCTTACGTGACAATTAGCCACAAAGGTGCTTCCTTCCTCCATCATAAAAATCACAACTGCAAATATCTTCAGCCAAGAACACTGACTCAGGGGGTGGGTCCAAGAGGGAAGAGGGAAGAACTCAAGCTGGTCCAAGCCAGGCCTGTGTCCAGCCCTAACCTAGTACACAATGGGTGCTCATTCTTATATGCATGGTCCTGGAACACAGAGATTCAGCTGCCTAGAAAGTACTTGGATTAAAAGCATGTGCTCCACCACTCCCAGATTTGTTGTTGTTGGTGGTGGTGGTGTTGTTTTGAGACAGAGTCTCACTCCGAAGTTCAGAGTAGCAATCCTTCCTCAGCCTCCTGAGTGCTGGAATTACAAAAGAGATGCCTGCCTCAGCACTAAAATTTAGACTCCTACTTTTTCAGCTGTTTTTTTTGCAAACGTTTGCTTATCTAGAATATAGGACTGGAAAGTCTAGAACCATACTACACAAACAAGTGAGTCTTTCAGAGCAGGGGTGGCATACAACTTTAGTTCCAGCACTCAGAGGGAGAAGCAGGCAGATCTCTGAGTTCGAGTCCAGCCTGGTCTACAGAGTGAGTTCCAGGACAGCAAACAAAAAACCCAAATGAGTATTTAGCAATAAGATAAGAGTATTTAGATAAACTGTTGTTTGTAGATTTCCTCTTGTCACTAACGTGGGTTCTTGAGAATAGATTGTCTTGGAGGCTGCTGTTGAGATCCACGTTGGAGTGAGCCAGTTGGGGTGCATCAAAGAGAAAGTACAACCCATACTGATCATTGGCTCTTCGGTTTCCAGACCTCAGCCACGGCTGCTCTCAGGGAAACACTGAACCTACAGAATCATGTGTAGTTTGTGTGTGTGCCAAGTTTTCTTGGGAGAAGGACCTTAAAAATATGGTCATGGTTTCAAAGTAGCCCTCTTCTCCAAAATCAAAGCACAGAGGCTCAGTTGTCCTGCAAACCCTGGCTTCCCAGTCTCATGCCTAAGCATAGTCCCAGTACTCAAGGTCCCTCCTTTCTAGACTGCTGTGGCGTTCACCAGCAAACTTCTCTTTCTACTGTCTGCTTATCTTTGGCAAACTGGGTTCTTTGTTTTCTTTTGTGAGAAGGGGGTTCACTATGGACTGCTGGCTGGCTTTAAACTTGCTATGTAGGGCAGGGATTATCAGATTCTGTAGCTGCTTAACTCTGGAGGAGTGGGGATTATCACAACCAGCTGTTGGTTTTGTTTTGTTTTTCCAGTAAGGGTTTCTCTGTGTAGCTTTGCCCATCCTGGAACATGCGCTGTTCACAGAGATCCTCTGCCTCCCGAGTGCTGAGATTAAAGGCGTGTGTCACTACTGCAGGGCCCAGCTGTTGTTTTTTAAAGATTTTTATTATTGTTATTTAAGTGAAAGAATATAGGTCATGTGTGTTGGTTCCCACTGTGGCCAGAAGAGCCTCCATATTGAACCCCAGTCCTCTACAAAAGCACCAATTGCTCTCAACTGCTGAGTCATTGCTCCAGCCCCGATTTTTCCCCCTTCGTTTCTCTCCTTTGTTTTGTTTTGAGACAGGGTCTCTCTATTTCTTCCTGGCTGTTCTGGAACTCGGTCTGTAGATCAGACTGGCTTGGACTCACGGAGATTCTCCTGCCTCTGCCATCCAGTGTATTAAAGAATACTCCACCATGCCAGGCAGTCTCGACTTTTTTTAAGGTTTAATTTTTTGTAGTATACACAGTGATGGGTCTCTCTGCAGTTGTACATAAGTACTGCTGCTTTGAGTCTCCCGCTTTGTCTCCCCATATGCCTTCCCTGGAGGGTTCTCTTCCCTCCCACAGATAATCTTCCCTCCGGGCTCCCACTTCCCATCACCCCGTGCTTAACCGCTCTCCCCTTGGTTTGTTTTTGTTATTGTTGTTTTGTTTGTTTTTGGTGGTCCTGGAGATGAATCTACAGCCTCAATCATGTTAAGCAAGTCCCCTGCCACTGAGCCACGTGCTGGAGTAAATTCAGAAATTTATACTGGACCTCCACGGAAGGCGGCAGGCAGGCTTTTAGGAAGGTGGAAAGGTGAGACAAGGACACTAACGCAGGGAATGCTGGGTGACGACGGGCGCTCGCCTTTAATCCCTGCACTCCGTGGAGGCAGGTGGATCTCTGAGTTTGAGGCAGCCAGGGTTGCACAGAGAAACCCTGTCTCCGAAAGCAAAAATCAAACAAAAAAAGAATAAAGCATTCGAGACCAGCCTGGTCTACAGAGCTAGTTCCAGGACAGGCTCCAGAGAAACCCTGTCTCGGAAAACCAAAAAAAAAAAAAAAAAAAAAAAAAAAAAAAAAAAA